GCTGTTAGCAATGCACATTTCCATTAAAGAACTGAAGATATCATTACAAAATGAACAAATCTGAGAGAGATCAACTTGTAGTACCTATATATGTAATATCAAAGCAATCGGACAAATCACAAATTTACCAAAAATTACAAAAATATTTATCAAAATTAGAGAATTGAAGATATCATCATGAAATGAACAAATCTAAGTGAGGTCTTCCCAAAGTACATATACACCAAGTATCAAAGCAATCAGGCTTGTAGTTTTCAAAAAGAAGATGAAAAAGTCAAAAGTTGACCTGAACAATAGAAAATCACTCATACAGTAAGCTCCACTTGGCAGATACTCAACATGGATTTTACAAGTAGTGAGTATAGGTCACTGTTTTGATGAAAGGACTTGGTGTACCAAGTACTATAACAGAATTTAGCTAACAGAAGGTACACTTTTGAATTGCAGAAATTTACACAACTTGTAGTCACCAGAACTGTATACCAAGTTAAATTTGGAGATTAATGGAGTATAAGATTTTATCACTATGTAATTATATGCAAATATGAAAATCACTCAAGAATTGTAAGACCATCACACAAACTAAGTTTTAAAGTAGTGAATATTGAATTTCTTTAGTTATTACACCATACAGACAGTGGTAACCACTATATTCTCTGAACTGGGGGATAATAAAAGTGGCTACTTAAATATGAATTAATATGAAGATCCTTCTCCAATGCTACAAATAAATGGGATCACAGAATGCCGGTAAACAAAAATAAAAACGCATTATGTACTTCGTGATCAGCCCAAAATTAATGGGGTTTTCTACAGACTCGTTCAGTATTTCTAAAAATGTAAGTTAGCTGTGAGATCATCTCGCCATTCATACGCCTTGTATTCAACTCTCATGAGATCTTTATCATATTTGCTAGGCTTCATTTTATAAATCCTTGATAATATACAGTGCTGTAGAAAACTTTTCTCCTTGAAATTTCATTTTTTGGTAATTTCACTGCTGAATCACGATTATACAGTGACAATACTTTTTTTTCTACATTTCACATGAGTGAAAATGATATATTTCCACATTGTAACTAGAAATATAAGCTCAAGGCAAAGACAGTAAGGTTTTACCTTGCTAGAGACTGTCTGATTTCTGTAAAACCATCCACATTTTCAAAATGGCTGATATCAGCATGCATCGGTTGGGATTTCATGAACGTTGGTCTTGGTAACGATGGATGCATCAATGTGTAACCTGTTGGAAAACAATGTCAACAATTAAAACTGAAGCCAGACAAACAAAAATTTGTTGTGTTCATTGGAAGCGCTCATAGATCTCACTGAATTTACCAAAACCATTGCCGCTGAGAGATGCAAGATGCAAGACATTAAGCTGAGAGTTTTCAGCGCATCTTCCAAAACACATACATAGCCATTGTTCACTGTCGATGATCGTCTGCTTGAATGTTTGCATTACAAGTTTCTCCATTTTGTAGATCAATTAAAAAACATTTAAGATGAGTATAAACATTTAAATTTTTTAGCAAATACAAATAAATATTCTTGGCTGTTTGCTTTACACTTGTTTATAAATACATTATTTTCACAATCCCGAAATGAAATATAACATCTCCTCAAAATCTTTGGGGAAAGATGTTGTCTATTTCCTCTTCTTTATATTCTGGACTTTCTAGATATATCGGATCTGGTTGAATCTAGAATTTATTTATAAATAAATAAAACGTTTTCATGTTTTTTTTAATTGTTTCATGTTTGGACGTCTCAATACTCACCTTGGTCATCCACCATGAACGCATAAGAGAGTTCTCCTTCTTCAAAATATGTTATATCTTCCAGCATATCTCCCATATTGAGATCAATGCCAACAATACCAAGGAGACGGTTGTTATAGTAACAGGCTTGAGTGATGGTCATCACTAATCCTAGAGGGTTGAGATAAAAAGAAGAATTTAGCTATGGTTACAAATAAAATATCCATGGCATCTCAGGCTTAATTAATGATGAAGAAAAAATTTATAATGCATTTTTGTATGTGCCCCCCCCCCCCTATTTCTTACCTTGGGATTGACATAGCATTTAATTTACCTATTATGATGTTTGAGCTTTTTCACTGGGGTTTAAAAGTTTACAAATTTGGCAGAGAAACAATGAGTTATAATGTTATTTTACATGTTCATGTGGATTCAATTTAGCAGATTTTACTTATCCGCGAACCTAACGAAATTAAAACCCAGTGAATAATTAATTGTTTTACAATATTTGGGACTGCAGTTTATAATGGCTTTATACATATTAGCAGCCAAGAAAACATAGATTTTTGTCCCTCAAAATAATTATGGTGTGATAACTGAGGGTGATACAATCACAAAATCATGAAAGTCGCTAAGAAATGTTTCTCCACTGAGTTTTAATCACTATTACACAAAGAATATTTCATTATATCAAGCATATTGACTAGGTTCTAAATTCATAAATTTGTCAGTGAAATAATGAGTTCTACTGTAATTTTCTATGTACAAAAATATTCAATTTAGCAGATTTCACTTTCCATTGAAAATAGTTCAATTAAAAACCCATTCATAGTATTTTTGAATCACTAATAATTTTTAGTAACAGTGTATACATATGATTGATTACCTTTGCCAATCTGGTCCATATAAGGCAATGTGTAGATGGGTTCACTGCTCATATTATTGGGAAGAATAGAGTAGAATCTACCGACGGTGGATGGAAGATTACTGATGATGTTCAATACTGTCATAATACCCTTCTGTTAACAAAAAAAATCAAATACAAAGTTATGACAATGAGGATATTTCCATATTTGGTAATATGATACACAATATGCAAATTATATGCAGATATATGTTAATATCAGGAAACCTCCTTCATAGTGTTATTATGAAATCAAACAATACATGTATATTGGTGTTTGTCTTGAAAAATGATGGATTTTTGTCAACAAAATTTTTGGAAAAACATTCATTTTTGATTTAAGCAACAAAATGACCAAAAAAAAATTAATAACTTTTTTCTAAGCAATATAAGTATTTGTGGTGATGGTTTACCTTTCTTGGCTGTGTGTCCAGCAAGGTTGGTATCACCTCGTATTTGTCACTGTTCTGTTCAGCAACATCACGTAGGAATGCCAACTCATCTAAACCAGTCTTCCCATCTATAAAGAATAACATAGTTAAACCGTGGTTACCTTACTGTTTGTGACTATACATTGCTTGACTAGGTTGAATTCAATGCACTCTATACTGATGTATATAAAATTAATACACTACTGTCATCAAGTTAAGTTACAACACTACTCAATAATCAAAATAATGGAATTTTCTTTATTTTTAATGAATGAAATGTCACAAGGTAGACAAAAATGAACTGAAAATATTATGTTTTGTCTGTTTTGGGGTATTTTACCATTGTATACAAAGTTCATGCCAGAAAAAATTACAAAATTAATATTATTGTAGTTTGTTTTTTAATTAAGAAATGAGTTTTCATTGTAATGTACGAAAACCGCTCCTAAATTACAATTTTGTGCATATTTTATCTCAAAAAACAGATTTACAATGTCAAAATGAAGTGTACATACTTTTGATTAATAATAAAATAATTATTTTATAAACAAATTTTGTCACAAAATATTCTTACTGCTGCATGAACTGAAACATGTGCACAGTAGTAGCATTCTACTCTGAAGTGCCAACCTAATCATGCAGTGTGTGTTAAAAGTTGGTGTAAAGAAATAATAATTTTACATGTTTGAACTGTATTTCTGTATTAATCAATAAATAAATACTGATGTATACTTTAATATTCAGTATTCATTATCTCACCTTCTACCAGGGCGTATGTCATTATAATAACTTTATTATTAAGTAGAGTATTCTGTTCTACTATCGTGTTCATAACCGTCTTCACTGCGTCTGATCCCGCTGTATGTCCTGAACTGATGTAAAGGATTATCAATGCATCTATGAAAATAAAATTTAAAAAAAATAAAATTGAAAGATTTACTAAAATTTGTAACTTGAGTCAAGACATCACATACTATTTCAGAAAAATTGTCCATATTGTAAAATTTCATGATTTTTACTATTATCCATTCAACACCATGAAGATCATTTGACTCACAGCTCATGTATGCACATTTAAAAAATACTAAATTGTCCTCCAACTTTTCATCAATATAGATTTTATTATTTGTTTGCAATATGTCAATGTAAATATTATACCTGAATTTATACCGCCTTGACTGTGGAACTTTACAGAATTCTTGATTAACTTGAATGCTCGGAGAATAGCCTGAGTATGATTGGTGGCTCCTGTGAGAGAATGAGAAATAACGACCACGATCATTACACTGACAATGACAAAAACGTTTCAGAACAGACATATCCTAAATGCAGGTTCAACTACTAGTCAATGTTTTACTTCAACAAATTTTAAAATGAAGGAAGAATAGAGAAAATATAAAATTAAGGGACATTAATAATTAATTCTTACCATCATCCGATTTGATTCCCTGAATGAATTTATTCAGTTGTTTTTTTGTTTCCACCGTTGATGGCGCTAATTGTTCTAAATAACATGAGTCGTCTTTGCAAGTATGTATAGTGGACGCAATACTGAGAACACCAACCTGTAGAAAACAGATAAAAAGAGTGTCAATCAATGAAGCACAATCAGATCTAAAAAATCAGAATTATCTAATGCTAATAGGTTTTTAAAGACCACCACCACTCTGGAACAATTAAATGACAGTTACTGTTAAAATGTTTGACTATGTCAGCACAGAACCCTCAAGAAAAAACATTATAAAATCAATGTTTCATTTTCAAATGAATTCTAGATTCAACTTTGTCTGGTATATCTAGAAATACCAAACTATAAAGGAGAGGTATTATAGCCAAGTCTTGGATGCAGAGGGTTATTCATAGTGATGGCAATAATTCCATTTCCAATTGTTCAAGCTCATTATGCTCCTTCTCGTCCATAGATGGAATCAGACAACTGGAAGTAGTGATTGTGTTCTTACCCTATCTTTCTCGGACAATGTCTCAACCGCAATCTCTGCAGCTTTTTTGGCAATTTTCAGTAAATCATCACTGACCATAGACCCCCTGTCTATCACAACAACCACATGCTTCTTCTGTGGCCTTACAGTTGATGCATACAGGGCACTGAAAGATGCAATACATAAAATGACTCAGAAATGACAAAGATTTGAAACAAGCAGCCTGAGATAGTTCCGCTCTTAGCAATGTACATTTCATTTGAAAAATTGAAAATATCACAAAATGAACAAATCTGAGAGAGCAACCTGTAATACTTATATATATAATATCAAAGCAATCAGACTTGTGGTTTTTAAGAGAAAGTCAAAAATATCACTTTTTACCAAAAATGACAAATATATTCACCAAAATTAGGGAATTAAAGATATCCTAACAAAGTGAACAAATCTAAGAGAGGTCTACCCAAGGTATATATACATAGTATCAAAGCATTCAGGCTTGTATTTTCAAGAAGAAGTCAAAAAAGTAAAAAGTTAACACAGACAATGGACAATAACCATCACTTATCTTTTTGTGCTTGCTCAGATTTACTGTGCCATGCTAGAAATATCTCACAACATCAGAACCAGGAATGATCCCTGAGATACAAAATGTATAAATCTCATCAGTTTTTCACATAAAAAATAAAAAAAAAGCCATTTACCTGCTCCTTGGATCAATATCTTTGCTACAAGACATAGAGCAGTGGGCGCTGTTAAACAACGTGGCAGGAAAAATGGTTTTGATGCCTTCCTCTGAACTAAAATACTGCCATTTTAATGACGGATAACTTCGTAAATTATTGGCTAAAACTGCAAGAAAAAATAACAATATTAATTAAAAACAAGCATTAGAATATGACTTGATAAATTTGCACAACTAAAATATACAATATGAAACCCAGTTCATGATTGGTCAGAAATCTTCAATATATTCATTATGTTTGTGTCTCATCCAATGAGTAAATATTTTACATTTACAGTTGGTAAGTAAATGTTATAACATTTACCATTAAGTTGGTATAGACAGATTTTTGAAACGTGTTGATATACATGTATTGTTGAGTTGTCAATCCCATTGAGCACAGAAAAAGGCAAGATTTGACAGGTTGACTACAAGCTGGAACGCCAAGTTTAACCTGGAATCCAACATGAGAGCCAAAAGGTCAAAACTGTTTGTGGTGTCAGTATGCGGCTACCAATATGTGTTAAATTCTAACAAACTTTCAAAACACTTAATCAAACCACAGTTATTTCATTCTATTTTTGAAAATAACAAGTAGCATAGTTCCATGTAAGTTATGAAGATTAACTATAATTAATATCGTAATAATATTCCTGATGTACCAGTTTAGAATTTCAATTTGGCAGGATCCAGATTTGGATTTTTCTTTTGGGCTTTCAATAAACTTCATTTGTTCCCCATAAACTGTTAAATAATGACATTTGTACTGACAGCCACAGGATTTAACCCTCTAACACCAAAGTGCATTTCGATGATATAGCCATCTTTTGAGGGAACCCTGCATTGGGACTACTGTAAAATCTGTATTAAAAGCCGCGGATTCTATTAAAATGGCACAATACAACAGAGGGGATGTGGCTTCTATTAGAGTATCTACACATATGAGAAATGATGAATTTTTGATTCTCAATTGCTCAAAAAGAATGGGTGCGACTTCTATTAGAGATGCGGCTTCTAATACAGATTTTACGGTACTGATCAATGTAAAATACCTTGTGTAAGATTTTTTCCGGGATTAAAGACTCCTGACGGCGTGACAGTCGAGATTCTGTCACAAACTTGAGTCCTAGAAATATTGCTTTGAAATACACCATCATATCTAAGAAAATAAATGAGAAAGATACGTTATTTAATGATTAATTTTAATTGAGTAGATATGGCTACAAAAAGACAAGAGTAAAATTTACAACAGCGAGACATTTGTGCCAGCAGGTAATCATACCCACTGCAGTAAATAGATTAATTATTTACTATTAACAGATTTTTGACCATTTATGATTTTCATAAACACCATTCTATAAAATGCAACTGGCTGGAGGAGAAATATCCACTTCACTGATTTTGACTAGTGCACAATTGAGAACCAGATATTGTTAGCCTTGGGGATTGGACAGGGTGTTGATATCAAATGTAACACTCATTTGCATAAACTAAATTGCAAAAACCTACTTGGTGGCATCTATTGGCAATTGGCAGCAATCGTTTCTGCTCGTCATGGCGCTATTTCTGTGTTTTTTATATAAATCTTCTACTGATGCTTTACTGCTAGATAAAATTCTTAAATATTGACTAAATTTGGCGCGAATCCGCCTCACAAGCTGCTGTATCTGTTGTTCTTCATTTGGAGCCCGATCAACGTACAACAACGAGTCATAAATGGCCTGCAATTAAAAATAGAATCACATTGTTACTCAAATAAATTAGAGAAATTCTTGAAGAATTATCGGTATGATTAAATAAATATAGCATTAACTCTAATCTGGGCAAGTCAATGTAAAAGTACAATGTACATGGGGCTGGCAGAATAAAACAAATTTAATTTTTGTTAAAGCGACAATAGCTGTGATTTTGAACATTTTACCGAAATATTGTTTTAGACACAATTGCATGTACAACACCAAGCTAATGTCACATGAAAACTGAAGATTGAGAAATCACCATTTTTATTGGGAACCATAGAAAATTATTATCGCACACTATTATGGGAAATGACACATAAAATCACCAGTGAAATCTGGTGATGTATTTGACATTTTGCCCAGGGTCCTGGTAAATTGTCATCTGAAATTGTTATACCGAAATCCCGGAGGTTTGATTGACAAAACTGGATTTCAATAGATGGCGCCCTCTGGAGAACTGGTCACATCCTGCCATCTTTTTTCATTTTCAAGTGATTTAATGTACAACATTGTTATATAGCGTATATGTAATGCTTTTCGTGTCCACATTTCGACAATGATCGTTACAAACTGGTACTATTGATGAAGAAATTGTTTTATTAAAAATAAAATTTGGAGGACAAAAAATGCGATTGCTGCTTTAAAATACTAGTAATAAAAAAAAATGTGACATGATAAAAAAACAAGCAGCCTATCGGCTGAGATAGCTCCGCTGTTAGCAATGCACATTTCAATTAAAGAACTGAAGACATCATTAGAAAATGAACAATATGAATAGTATCAAAGCAATCGGACTTACAGTTTTTAACAAGAAGTCGAAAATATCACTTTTTACCAAAAATTACAAAAATATTCACCAAAATAAATTAATTAGAGAATTGAAGATATCATCACAAAACGAACAAATCTGAGAGAGGTCCACATGTAGTACCTATATATGTAATATCAAAGCAATCAGACTTACAGTTTTCAACAGAAGTCGAAAATATCACTTTTTACCAAAAATGACAAAAA